AGATTCTGTGTTTCCAAGAAACAATTGCAATAACAAATCCCTATTGTGGAATAGTGAATAAAAACTTAAATAAGTTAGCCATTTTGAATCAGAATTTGAAACGAATGTATGTGTGTGACATGATGCATAATGTACATGTAGGTGCAATTGATTGCAATCAGTTAGGACAAAATAGGAGCTCAAGAATGGCATACAAAATGGCTACCAAGTACCAAGTTTGAACTAAATCTGCCCATAAACTAATGAGATCCAGGTCTGGCATGACAGAAATGCTTTTGGTGAATGGCACTAAAATGGTCGTTATTCAGCCATCTTGAATCAGCTCAGAAATTAATGTTCAAGAGACAAATGTGAATTCATGCATAATCCATAAGTCCATACTTTGAACTTCAACCAAACATTAAGATAGAGACACTGGATTCCATGGCCTCTAGCCCTCTACAATGGTGCTAGCACATACCGGTACATAAGATAGAGACACTGGATTCCATGGCCTCTAGCACTTAGCATATTAAGATCCAAATAACAGTTTTTAATATTCTGATTCCTCAAATAAGATACAGCTACAGGCCAAGAAAGATCTAAATTAAAAAATTTCTCTTGGTACCGGTATATAAGAAGTCTCATACATTCAAATAGAGATGATGCTTCATCTACAGAAAATGTTGAGTCCTCATTCTGACTATATTTCATTTGGATTGTGTCTATTTTAAAAATTACATATGATAAATTGAACAAAGAAGCAATTTTCATAAAAATTATGAAGAAAAGTTTGAAAGTTTCAAAATTCATGAAGATTACAATTTATAGATAAGCTTGGTGCTGGGAGAACAAGAGAATCATAGGATTTTTTGATTCACCTGTTGCATTTCGAATGTTCTAGTTCTTTTTTAACAAACTGTACCCTCCCCTTGTTTTTTGTTGAAATATTTCTCTATTGTTTGCCTATGATGAAGTTAACATTGTTTTTTCATCAGGGTGTAATAAACATTATTATTATTATTGTCTCTAATTTGCATACAGGCAACACCTCTGATGAGAGATCCATTAAATCTGCATATTTCACTGTTAGAAGATTGTAAACCAGTCAATCAGTTGGCAATTTACAACCACGAATATCATATACAGATTGTATGCCAAATTTATAATGAATACATGAACATAGATTTCCCTGAAAAGCTAGATAAATTCGTGGGCAGAGTGGAAACAGTGCTTCACATTTAAATTTCAAAAATAAGATATGATCTTGGTACATTAGTTATTGCTCTATATTTTATTTATGATTCGTAGGACACTGTAAGACAAACAGCATTGTTCAGTTACAGGTTTCAATATTTTATAAGTGTACATGTAGTTTTGGGTGAAACTTGCTACTATCCCCTAAGTGCATTCCATGATATACATATGAACAGACACTGGCACACAGGTCAATCTATAAGTCTGCATTTCGGGACTTTGTCTGAACAGGGACTCAGGTAATAAACAAATCCACCAACTGATTGGCAGAACCAAAATGTGATGATCACAATAAAACTGTGAGTACAGCAACAATCTGTGCTAGACTGTACACATGGACTATTTTAATTACTTCTTAAGGAAACTTTTCATTCTATAAATGGAACAATGAAGTATAATAAGGTATTGATTTTACGACACAGAAAGTGTTCAACAAATCAATTGTTTTATTATTTATGGTGTCAATACAAGTAAAGTAAACAAATGGTTCTCAGCTAGCAGGAAAAGTACACAGACCACCAGCAGAAAATTTGATATAGCTAGAGGCAGTGGAGGTCGAGTCAGAGATCAATAATTTCTGTAGATTCACCAAAACAAGCCTTCATTTCATTACTTGCAGACATACATGGCGTAATGCAAGCATAGTGATGGACATTATAAGTATTACTAGAACAAGATTACCAGAATAATATCCCATGATAAATGTACGAGACAAATATCTCTGTACAGTATCATTAAAACAAAATGGCCTCCAATCGGTCATTATGAATTTCATCTAAAAACAAGATGTCAAGCACAAAGGAGACATTATGTATAATATATGCCCAAGTTTGAATGAAATCAGTCTACATAAAACTAAGATCAGATTCTGGAATGACAGAAACACACACTATTGGTAAAAAGTATAAGACTAGAATGACGATTGTTGTTTTTGCAGATTCTTTGGCATAAATACAAATTCTGTATATGACTTGTCAGCCCAGGCATTACTGAGAAAAGACATAAAGAAAGAATATATGCACATGAAACCCAAAATGTAAGTCCCTGATTTGGACTATGTTATGAAGAAAACAGACCAATGTTATTCCACAGCAGATTCCACAGAGACATATCAGAAGTACCTATCTAATAATAATATTTTTTTCTTGAACTAATGATTCAGCCATCTCTAAAAAAAAATATTTTTTTCATTGTCCTACTACCAGCACAAGATTTTATACTGTGAGCAACTGCTTTGTATCACAAAAGTAATGATGAACCACACTGATATGCTAAACATGATAGAACTATAGCCAGTTTATTTGTCTATTTTGTTGTACCCGGCATGTCAGAGATAAATAAGGTCCTGAAACAGAATGGCCACTATTCAGCCATTTTGAATCTGATTCAAGAAAAAAATAACATGCACCATTACGCTCAATGTACTCTTAAATTTGATTGTCAAGGAAGAGAAAGAACTGGTTACAAAAATGCTTGATATGACCCTAAAACTGCATTTAAAAACAAATTAAACAGTTGCCACGCCATTCTGAAAAAAAATAAATGCAACAGCAAAGACTACCATATCTGAATGAAATGCTCAAAAATGGCCATCATTTGGCCATCTTGAATTGGATCATGAAACAAATGCATGTGCTTATGCATGATATGATGTGGGATGTATGTGTGAGGTTTAAAGGTGATTGGTAAAGGCATGTCAGAGATATTAATAATCTTAACAATAAAGTGGTGAGAAGTTTTTTTTTCTAAACAATGAAGCGACATACCCTGTTTGTTAACAACATTAAATTCTCAGCTAAGAATAGTGTTTTGCTTTTTATCAATAGTGACTGATGAGATGATTTTGCAAAAAAATGGCTGCTGTACTGCCATCTTGAATCAGATTATAATCATACATGTACATGTGCATTTGCATTCCAAGTGTGAAGTTGAAACATGATCGGTCCAGGCATGTGTAAGATATGGCTCTGAAAAAACATTCATTATAAGAAAGTTGACCATTTTGAATCCAATCTGCATTACAACGTCAAAATCTCATAATATCTAAAGTATGTGCCAATTAAGTGAATCATATCCAGCATGATAACCGAGACTGGGTTCCGGAATAGCAAAAATGACTTTGACCAATTTTTTGGCACTAAAATGGCCATCTTGATGGTCATCTTGAATCGGATTACGAAATGAATATATATGCATATGTATCTCAAGAAGCATTTGAATGTGATCAGTCCAGGCATTGTCTGTGATACAGGTGCAGATGAATGTACTGACACACACACACACAAATGCAAAGAGGTGAAGTGACATTGTCCAAAAACGCACTATAAAAAAACATAGTGAAAATACTTTTCTCCACTAGTTTATAAATTACCAATCGGCAAAAATAAACTCCTTATATTAACCATGTTTGGGTTCATGGCGAAAAATAAATTCCCACCAAAACAAAGTATTTGTCATGATTACAAAATCTTACTAAAAACAGAGTTGATATTTTCATAGAATGCCATCCACTCTGTGAAACCAACTCGTTGTGGTCAATGTGCACAGATAATAATGACAATTTCCAGCGCAGCAGTGTTGCTTTTATAGGGATTTGTCCAAAAAAAAGTTGATTGGCCTACAAAAGCCACAGTGAAATTATTTTAACAACACTGCAGGTATAAATACATCTGTCACTATTTTATTTGTTTGTTTCACCTTCATGAATAATTAACCGCATTACATAATGCTCATTAAATCATTAGAAACAAACCTAATATATAATATAATAAAATATATATTAAGAAAATTAATATTCATTAATTATCTTTTTTTCTGATTTATCCATCCAGCAAAAACAGTGAAAATAAATAGCATTAAAGTGAAAATCAAGTAGTTTTTGTCACTTACTGGTATGAAGCAAACACTCTGTATAATAATGCCAACCCCCTGAAGTGACCCTGTTACACACCTAAAATGCCTGCACATTCACTCTCCTATTCTTCTACAAGACACACTAGTTTCTTTTTTCTTATCACGTTTGCATTTTTTTTTCACTACAAGAAAGTATACAAATACCTAAACAACAATTTCCTTCATAGGTTCTGTTATTCACTAAGAATTTTAAAGACCCAAATGAAGTAAAATCTCTAGGATTGTTTATCAACGTTGCAAATAATGGATTGTATTATAGTTAAGATTACTTTCTTCAGGGTTGTGACCTCGCTAGATCAAGCAGTTATTTACAGTAAAGGGCAATTCTTTGTGATAGACACAGCAAGGCGAGCGCATGGCGTGGTTTTACACAATTCACATACAAACACCAGTCTTTTTTGTCTAAATTCTGTCATCACGGGCTTGGAATAACTAAACGCTCTTGTATAAATGTTGCTGTCACGGCATTTTTATTTTTGCAAAAGTTAAAGTTTGTCGACTGCTCAAGGGAAATATGGTATGTACTTTCGAGATGTTATGCATCCACTGTAGACTTCCGTGTTATTATCCAATTTTACGCTTAGTCCCGTTATAAATTTCAAGTATCTGGAATTAAGTTATCAACCGACACAACTCTGTATTTATGCAGAAATTCCGTCCGTGGTTTGCGCGGCACACTACGTGTAGACGACTCGCATTCTCAAAACATTATTTTAATTTAAAAGTGTTTTCTCTAAATAAAGTGTGCACAGTTTGATTTGAGCAAACATTATTTCATTCTTGGTTTTATCTTTAAAATTAGCAAATAAAATAAAATGTCATTCCACCTTAATTTCCCCACCCCTACTTACTTCTTGCACAACTTCTTGCCCAACTAGAGTGATTACGCCTGTCGGTCGCCTCTTCTCCCGGACCTTTCCTTTCCTGTCTTTAAATCTACCCCCTGTTTTCTTGGCTGCCCCACCTGTCGCCCCTTCACCGTCTTCACCGTTTTTTTTGGCTGCTTCCCTTTCCCTCCGTCTTCGTGCCACTCTCGATTCACCGGCTTCGCCAACGGAGTCCGCCATCTTGGGAAGTGATCAAAAAATCTTCACAAACTTGTCAAGTAGTCGCTTAAACTTTACAACACATGTGAACTTTGGCGATGAATTAAATCATCTACGCATACTTGTCAAGAATTCTTGTGCTGATATAACTTAATGATTTCTTGCCAAACCGTTCCAAAACTGTCTCGGTTCTCAATGAATGTACAGTACGAAGAGGGAATGATGACAAGCCTGCGACGTAGAACTTTTGATCCAAACAAATAGAATCATTCATTTGCATTGGGGGTATTTACACGCGCAATGTACTATAAAACGTTACTCATCCCATGGCCATTCTGTCAAGTCATTGCACCCAAACTGTTGTTATTTACAGTCGCCAACCGAGAATTCCGAACAAATAATGGTGACTTCAATTTATTTATTTTAAATAATTTAATTTTACAGACTTTTTTTAACAAATGTAAATACTACCAACGTATTATTCTAGTTGGTGTTCCTTACACACGTTATATTCACATATTGGCACATTGTATTATGTTTAGTATTGACCACTATAAACGTAACCATGGTTATGCAGATGATACAAAATCCTGTCATCATTGCCTTCACTTGTGTTTTTAATCTCAAGATGATGATAAATTTAAACATGATCTATAACTCAAATATTGTATTATTGTTCCTACCAGAAATTTCGAATAACGCCCGACTTACTAATGACACAAATAAAATGTAATTCATAAAAGATTAGCGTTATAGTACGGCCACTAAATTTCCAAACTTGTAGAATTAATTTCATTTGGTGTAATTTATCATACTCGCGGGCTCTTCTAATTCATAAATCACACGATGATTCTCATAAAACAACGTCACTCATTGTATTTACCGAATGGAGAAATTAACGATGCTCACAACAAACTTGAAGTTCACGGGGAAAATACTCGTGTTTCATCAACATGTCTCAATAATATGAATCAAATAATAGAATTATTAGTTGGACATTATCAGTAACACTGATCAACACAGATGTGAGGAGTATAAACACATTCATTCTTTTTAGTTCATTGGTAAATGGTGGGGGGGGGGGCATATTGGTGCGTTCTGATCCTCCACATCTACCATGATTCATGCCCGAATACCAGTTTTGCTACAGAGTTGCCAAGGATGGCGTCAGCAGGGGTGTCAATATTTACAGATTGAATTTCAATCTAATAAAAACATCCGTCTAACGTGGTTTTAGTGTGATAGGTACCTGTAGCTCACCCAGTGGACATAATGGCATAGTAACAAAAGGTCATTTTATCTGTAGATATATCAAAATTTCAGTCGTCAGTGCTGACAGTTTCAAAATAGGTGATTTATATGTTAAGTAGAACTACGGAAATGAAATTTGCGAGAAATGTATCTTAGATACGTGTTTACACTTAAGTTGGCGCCCAGTCTACCCCGTATGTGTATGGCAATGGTCTTTGTATTTATTTATTTATTTATTTATTTATTTATTTATTTATTTATTTATTTATTTATTCATTCATTCATTCATTCATTCATTCATTCATTCATTCATTCATTCACTCATTCATTCATTCATTTATTCGATCATTCATTTATAAATAATATATTGAGCATATTTAAGTACTTTTCTTCTGTAGTACATGTTGGTAAAATATTTAACAAATCATTTAGGAACTCCCACGATGAAAATGATATCGACCAACTTATCATTCTTTAAAATACCTATTCACCGCATGGTCGATGGCGTCACGGTAAAATTAATTAAATATACCGAAGACAATCTCATTATACTCGGATATTTTTTTTTCTTCGCGGTATCCCCTTTTGGTCGCCATATATTTCCAGCTAACATTATGCAGGCAGGTTTATTTTGTGAAAGTTGACTTTGATGTTCAAAGCGTTGATGGCGTATCTAGGTGGGGTCGTGTACGTTTTACATGCACTGAAAGTCCCTTGACCGAGTAGCAAATCATGTTGTTTACACAAGTCCAAATACTAGACTGCGTCATTCGTCGTAGCCAATGTGATACGATAAAACAGTGTTATCCGTAAACTGATAGACCACACAAACCACATCCTGGACCTGGTGATTAGAAACCAATTATGACGTCATACATTGGGTTCGACTTCCCATGCACGACTTGTACTCAATACGTGACCGCCCATCTAATATAAGTCGGGGTGGGTGCCGTAATGGTATAAATGATTGCACTTCTCAGAAACAATTAAAATAATTTATTAATTTTCAGTTGAAAATATTACATATGCAAATGCAGTGCGTGGGATTTTGAAAATACAATAAACATACAATTGAGACAACATTGATACCGCAAGCACAAAACTAATAAATTACGGGAGTAATATTCAAATTATGATTTATATATGAATTAAATAATATATCTATTCCACCATAAAAGAACAACAGTTGTAGTTTTATCTTATCTTTAATATATTTATTTTTATCTAATCTTATTTTAATTTTATCATTGAGATATCAGAAACAATCTTCTCATGTGGTACACAATCAGATTCTCAATTTGAGCGAACAGTCGTGCTTCGAATAGCACGCTGTGTTTAATTGGTCAGAAGTTATAAGGAGTACCTATTTATAGTCGCTTGGTGGCGCTTTCCATATAAAAGACTGTATGAGAACGTTTCAAGTTTCATCTGAATACTACACTCGGCAATTATTGTACTCATGCAGTTTTATGTTCCTGTATCTTTGTTAATAGAAGACGACTTCGATTTTCTGGATTATTTCGGTCACTCTATCTTTTCCATCCTAAGGTAATGTAAGTTTTGCCCATTAGCAACCCTGAGGTAGATGAGGTAGCGAAAATCACAAAACCATCATTCTCAAAAAAGATTTAGCTCAAAACTAACTGATGGAAAATAACTTCACACAGAGATTCAAATATTCATCATTAACCTGTTCACCACCAGTTTCCTTATTTCATCACACATCCACAAAACAATCCCATTTATAGTCTGCACCTTCCTTCAAAAAATTGGGACAAAAAAGCAAAATTTTTTGAGTGAAAATTGACTAAAATTTGGTTTGTTGACTCCAAAATAAGGGTTCATTTTCAGAAATATTGAAGAATAAAAAAAAATTAGGCGAGAAAGTTTCGGGGTAAATATTAGTCTGAAACTATCAGTGTGCAGGAATGATCGCCTATCCATGGAAGTTACTCGTAAAGTAACTTGACGGGGGACATAGTCCTATCTGAAATGTTACCGGGACGTCACCCCTTGATGCCATGTATGATTTCATGCCAACATTCACCTACTGTGAATTACATGTTAATTTACAGTGTTTGTTTACATCGTATGAGTCGCGTGGTTGGACCCATCGTAGGAGTCGCGTGGTTGGACCCATCGTAGGAGTCGCTTGGTTTGACCCGGTTACTCACCAGACAATATATGCAGTAAGTTTAAAAAGAACGAAGCACCGATCTACGCGCACTCTTGCGGGTCACGTGGTTGGGCCATAGTAGGAGTCGTGTAGTTTTACCCGATTACTCAGCAGACAGTTTTTTGTTAAAAGAACGAAGGAGCGACCTACTAGTAATTCTCGAGATAAATAATATAAAAAATTATTGCTAAAAATAACACATTATTAAATCGCTATACACTAGTATTGCCCATTGGAGTATTATTTAACACTGAACAACATTCTGTTCATTTTGAAAAAATACGCCAAATATTATGCAAAAAATACTATTATATTCAAGAGTTTCAAGAGACAAACGTAAAACATTACTAGTATTTCATATTAGTTTTCTTTTCTAAAAGCTTGATTTTAAAAATAATTCAATAAAACAAAATGCACCCTGTGCGTCATAATATATAAACCCCGACCTTTTGTCACCATGGGAACAATTTAGACGTAAGAAAGGTTAGTAAATAGATAAAAACTTCTAGGAGATGATATATCGTAGACATGTGCAATCATAGGGTTGGTTGTGAACCATGGAGTGGTTTGTAAATAAAAAAATAGATTCTATTATCACAGGTTCCAAATCAACTAATTGATTAAAAAGACATTCTCTCATTCACAAACTATTTCTTGCTTCACAGCCCACTTCATTCTCACATTAAAACATTTGGGTATTGTAACTCATTTTGGGCATTTACAATTATGGAGATGGGTGGTCAAATTAGTAGGGCACTATCTGGCTGAAAGCATATACGAGTCATGGAGTTAGATGGAAACATTGGTAGGACACTATCTGGGTGAAGGCATTTCAGAGTCACAAAGTTGGGTGGTTAAATTGGATGGGTACTATCTAAGTGAGGGCATGTATGAATCATGGAGATGGGTGGAAAATGGTAGGGCACTATTTTGGTGAAATCATGTAAGGGTCACTGGGACGGGTGGTAAAATTGGTAGGGCACTGTCTGGGCTAAGGCATTTACAAGTCTAAGAGGGTTTGGGAAAATGGTAGGGCACTGTCTGGGTAAAGACGTGTACAAGTCTGAGAATGTTTAGGAAAATGGTAGGGCACTGTCTGGGTGAAGGCGAGTACAAGTCATGGAGATGGGTGGTAAAGTTGGTAGGACACTATCTGGGCGAGGGCATATACAAATCACAGAAATGGATGGTCAAATTAGGAGGAGGGCACTATCCGGATGAAGGCATGTACGAGTCATGGAGATGGGTTGTCAAATTGGTAGGGCACTGTCTGGGTGAGGGCATGTACGAGACATGGAGATGGGTTGTCAAATTGGTAGGGTACTGTCTGGGTGAGGGCATATACGAGTCATGGAGATGGGTTGTCAAATTGGTAGGGTACTGTCTGGGAGAGGGCATGTACGAGTCATGGAGATGGATGGTCAATTTGGTAGGGCACAGTCTGGGTGAGGGCATGTAGGAGTCATGGAGATGGATGGTCATATTGGTAGGGCACATTCTGGGTGAGGGCATGTAGGAGTCATGGAAATAGATGGTCAATTTGGTAGGACACTATCTGGGTGATGGCATATACGAGTCAAGGAAATGGATAGTCAATTTGATAGGACACTATCTGGGTGATGGCATGTACGAGTCATGAAGATGGATGGTCAAGTTGATAGGATACTATCTGGGTGATGGTAGGTACGAGCCATGGAAATGGATGGTCAAGTTGGTAGGATACTATCTGGGTGATGGCATATACGGGTCAAGGAAATGGATAGTCAATTTGGTAGAACACTATCTGGGTGATGGCATGTACGAGA